GCTATAGAGCCAATTGTGAGTGTCAACTTTTGAGTCTCGTTGGTCCACTTCCACGACAACCACAAGTTGGCAACGATGGGGAGAAAGTTAAATACGGCTCGTATAATACCAGGACAGAACCCTCTCCTATCCTGGATGGGTCTCTGACACTTGGGCGACCCTGATTCGGAGATTCTGCACCTGCAAACAGCATGACAGTACATCCTCTTGCAGATGGTGAGTCCGTCCGTGATCTGGACGAACGTGATGAGAAGCAAGCCATCTCCCAAGTTCAGGGACCAGTCAACTGCCAACCTACTGAACATTACAACTTTTCCTCACTGAATGACAACGTTGGCACATGAGACTCATTCGCGTTCTTCCCGACATTTCTGATGTATATTCAACTTAAGGTTGCTGGTAGCAAGTATTCCGATTTGTCTCGTAGGCTTTCCACATTCAGTCTTTTCCTTGAATCGTCTGTCAATGTGACAGGAGTTCAGTTCAGAATCAGAGCCAGTGCTTGGATAAACCGTACTGGACATGAGATGAACACGACGTAATCTGAACTGGTAGCCGAAACAACTTGTGATCAAACCATCTGCAACCCCGACCCCCTCCTTTCTTACATCGGTGGGGCCTAGTTACATCTAACTTCTCTCGTTGCATCCACGTACGGGTCGTTGGAGTCTTTCCGCTGTTTATTTCTTGGGGTTTTTTTCCACTTACATCAGTCGACTCTTCATCTCATCATGACAGGTACATATTCCAAAAAGATCTCAAAAGGGACACTTTATCACCATCTAAAAGGATCCGGAGTAGAAATTTCTTGATTGGGCGAATCTCATTAATGGCCTGTACATGCTTCCATTCGTTACAGAAACGGTGGCACGGCGGGAAGGAATTAAGTTGTGACGCCACAAGTTTGACACCTATTGGGCTATTCAACTACTTCGATTCCTGTTCCGAGTTCTGAGTAGCTTCAGCTCTGAGATAAAGTTGTGTAAAGAGTTTGTCTGTTCTATGACAACCTCAGACATCGGAAAACTAACACACATGTGACAATGGACATATCTCAACAGTTAGGGAATGCGAGGGCTCCAGTGTTTCAGTGGTCGCCTAGAGGTGCAAATGAGAAGAGTTTTCAAGGCATGTTAGGGGAGCTAAGTCAATGGCTGGACTTCCGTTTCAAACCTACATCAGAGTTAGAGTAGCTGTCCTACAACTTAATCCCCAGCGACAGACCGAGAGGGAATTAGTGGCAGCAGCAGCAGACTCCCCGTCGAGTTATCAGCTTGTTTTAAGATTCTTTACACAGTCCTGCCGTAAATCGTGCTTGGACTCCAGATCTCACATTTCCTTGAGGAGCTATATCGTAATAGTCTCCGTTGCGCGAGGTATCAGATGAGGATCAAACATAAAACTTTGGACAGGCTGCCTACGTTGTCCTCGTGACAGAAGTTAGTGTTGATCATCATCATCTTGGAGATTGTTGGCAAAATCAAATTATTAGAGAAGGATTCCCGTTACATGGAGAGCATTTTGATGTCCATGGCAAAGGTTCCAGACGGATCATCTCTTCTCCCAAATCCTCGCAACTCCACAACCGCACATGTAAGCAACCGCTGGTGGAAACCTTGAAGGCAAAACTTGCATCGTCTTCGATTTACATGCAACTCACCTTGCAGAGGTTTGATAACCCTCCTTCCGAAAATTTTCTTCTAAAATTTATCATACAATATGAGCAATTAGTCTACAACTGGAGTCATTACCTGTCAGACGATGAAGACGTGGACGTGTCAAGTTAGTTATGGCTTAAAGGGATAACGAAGTAATATAACCACTTCAGAGTTTTCCATAGATGCAACCACAAGGGAAAAGATGGGGCTAGGCTAGTCGCATCGCACGGGCAGGATAACCTAGTATTACGATAAAAGCTAAATCCGCCCTCACATGTCCCGAACGAAAAAAACATGTGATACGTCTACGTAGACCCGTCCTAGCAGGATTAGAGCCGGCGAGATCACACCCAAGTCGTTGTCAGATGATCCTGAATACCACCACATCCGTCTGCCCTATCACCAGATATGCAGCCCTTTCTGTTTGTAGAAGGTCCAATTTGGGCACCTCGAGGATACATAAGAGAATGTAAGAAATAGCAAATTAAAGCTGAACATATCCCCATGTGGAAGTGTTTCAAACGTTCCTGCATAATACGAAAAGATAAGTAGTTCGCTGACCAGTTGAGTTTCAGAAGACAGCCTACATAGAATGAGAAGGATCGTTTCAGGATCCAGAATTTTCATCATGTCGATGTGGTGGAAGTCATCAACTTATGTCCAACAAATAGGAAGAAACCAGTTTAACAACCATCTTCACTGACCTCTCATCATATTCTGGGGGATGGTTTTTTTCAGAAAGCGTGCCTCACAATATGACCAACGTGGAATCTTAGAGGACTTATGTTGACTCCATCTAAGCCCTCACTGTGATACCACAGAAGATTCCCATATACTGATCCCGATGAAAAACAATCCATCAGTGCTTGTGCCATGACAAATAAATGATCAACAGAGCGAATAGGATCTTGAGCTCCTAGAGACATCAGCATTGAGAACGCACTTTTAATTGGGAAATAGCTGGTCGACCCAGGCAAAGAACTTGCAAAATGATCCTTTTAATAATATGTAACTATTCTCTCGATGAGTGAAACTTAGAAAAGGTTTGGGTCCTGACCACGAGTTGTCAGCTAAGTATTATCAGACGTCATGCATCGAGGGTAAATTTGGCTCTTATTTTCGAGGACTTCGCTTCCAGTACTGGGCATCATTGTACCTGAGACATGCTTTCTAAGTTGCGCTTTTGATAGTTTAGTCTGAGTTCCTAGCTCTGCACAGTCCGGGAAAATTTCCTCCTCGAAATTTCCTAATCTCGAAGGGCTCGCAGCGGTAACATGAATCGTATGCCTTATTGTTTACAAAGCAATGATGACCTCCTGCCTGTACCTTTGCACGGTATACTGTGCGAACATCACTTATTGTTTCTCACCTCGATCATTTTCTCTACTGTTGGAACACGTACTCATGGAAAAAAGTGCTCGAGGGTTAGGGTTTCTTCCTGATTTACTAAAACTTGTATTAATTAGAGGGGAAGGCAGCAAGCGAGAATTGTAAGGTTTGATTCCCTGACGAAGATAGGAACTTTTCTGGTCAGAGGACGTATCTTATGTGTCGTACGTTCCACGACTCTTGACGTCTATGTCAAATTATATGAAGACAAACAGTTACCCCACGTCAAGTTCAACCCACTGACTGATGTGGATTCACCTCAACTTGTACATCACAATATAGTCGTGACTTGATCGTATATTAAATGTACTCTAGACAGCTAAATCCTCTTGATTATATGATGACAGTAAACCTGAGCACATGATGAGTTAGACCATACGCCCTATATTTAATTCATAACTCAGGCCACACTTTATGTGCTGTTTGGATCACTCGACATTAAGTGGAACAATGATGACAGATCTCAATAAACTTATCATGCTCAACTGCATGTGAGTGGTGGATTACGTCAGAACATGAACAGAATGAAAAGCATTCATAGTCTACAATCACGATGTGAAACATTGAGTCACCGATCAAACTTTCAGAGTGTCCGGATTGCCAAAATGTCTCTCCTCTTTCTCTCTGTTTCATCTTTTCCAGCTTCATCTTTTTTCATCTTTCTGATCCTCGCAGATGCATTTTCCGGATTCATTGTTGTTGAGTTCTCAAAGCTGCGCTGCCCATAATGATGAGTCATTTCACTTCCTGATGATTGGCCTTGATCTGTGGTGCCTAGAGTAGAGTTCGTGTCATGGTCGCATCTCCAACGTACTTGGGCCTCGAAAAGGTTGCACTCCGAAACTCTCACGTACTTCAGGTACTTCAATGCTCACAGTATGTTCTCTTCAACAGCTCCATCACCTGTCGCCATTCCACAACCACCAATCAAACGTCAACCAGCAACCTTTCAATAACCCTACGCAAGAACACTATATGATATTGTACTATCGGTTAATGTGACCCCACGCATCAACTCACTTCACGAGAGACATGACAATACATGGTGGAAAACATGCCATTTCTGGTCGAATGTGTACTACCGGATGTTTTATCTTCGAATCTGACATAATTGAGTTCACACAGAAATTTAAGCCCCTCCATGTGAGTTTATATTCCTTACGCTAGCTGTATCAGCTCGTAAGATGTCCTGGCTTGAGTGTTGTCGGGAAAGTTTAATATATCCTTGAGCACATCGTGATCTTCATATCCTGGAATCGAAGTTCAGATAAAAATGACTTGTGTCAGATTTTTTACCGAATCTTATTTAGTCAGTCTACACATATTCCTTGTTTGTTTTGGTACTATCAATCCAAACAGGCCTTCAGTATATTGAATTCCATTCATATGCTGTATCAAGCAAATGATACGATTTCATGGATATATCTCTAGCCCGCTCTTCATCAGTAAGGGGTACGCAGCCAAAGCTAGAATTAGAATCAAGCATCTTACACCCGGTAACGGCAGATCCAGCAGCGGAGGTATAACCCCACTGGTCATGGTTCTAGGAAGGTTCAAAACACCTACAAAATAACAGGTTCACCAACAGTCGTAGACAACATCCAACTTGAATTGAAGCTTTTTGGTTTATGACAGGACTGTGTCGATTTGTTTGCATCATCAAGCTATGCCCATCCGCCATAGCTTCATGATGCAATCCGTGGGTCAACATACCCAGACTCCGACACTACTTATACATGCTGACTACTATGATTCGATTGACGAGCCTGAATGGATCACAGAATAAATGATCCAGCAAAAATCATCACAATGAATTCGTTACGTAGAACATATGAGAGATTCTTTTTTTCCAATTATTGACCACATGACGCAACATTGAAATGTGTGAGGCACTATTATTTAATCTGATCTGCCTTCAGCGAGACAATCATATTCATATATCTTGCGTATCTGGCGAATATAAAATCGAATCGCGGTATACATGGAAAGTGTACGAGTTTGGGTAAGAGTATTACAAAAGTTATCAGACGGGGATATGCATGTTCAGGAAATGTATGGTCTGAGACATGAAGATCCTTGAGACATAACACTAACTTATCATTGAGCAGATCTATACGTGGACCTGATTCCCACACCTCCAGCTCCGCGGTTTGTATGGTCCCATGTTTGTGTATGGAATTTATATCCTTAACTTGTTTGGACCATTTGATACAGAAAGACATGAATGATCCGATATCTGCACTTGAACTTCATGCACATGTTGCAATACTCTGCTTGCTGGTTAGGGAGTCACACATGAAATATATTTCAGTATGAATCTCTTCTAACAGATTCCACGGCCAGGCATGTGGGGCAATCGAGTGTTGTCGTAGCTCGTCCATGACAGATACTCACGCCCTGGGAACTGTCAGACTGGTTTCGGATGATAATCCTTGAACTGTGATATTATTCAGCAATTCATCGTACAGATGCTTGAGATGAGAACAATACTCAGGAGTCGTCATATTGAATACTGATTCCTCTTGAAGTCAACGTCTCCGTGGAGGCGTGAATGGAATACATATTCAAAGATGCTAAGAACACCACAAGAGTTGACTTCGAACATAAATTCCAGGAACGAATTTGATGGGTGGATAAGTTCATTCCACAATTTCAGCAACACTTTAGTCATATTGCTTGCAACTCATGATCGGGAACAGACAAGGTGGCACTCGAAACTCTGACGATTTCTATCAGGCCTTGCTCCTCCCTCCCATGCCTTGTTTAGGCGGTGGTTTCATTGTGCCTTCGGTCGTGAATACGGAAACATCAACTACTCAAGAAGATTCTGGATAATCACTGAACTGCTCTTCCACTGTCTCCCCAATGCTCTTTGGCATCTCTGAAGTAATTGTCCCTTCGCTTCATGGCAGGCCTCCATCAAACATGGAACCGTAGATGATGCACGACCTCGTACGCATTATTTTTCACAATATTCGGTAATAATAGCTCTTTGAAATTGACAATCAAACTTCTTCCAGAAAATACTACAAGACAATGAAAAGTCTCTAAATATGACTTGTGGACTGGAGAGATTACTCCACAGAAACAAAGTCGGGAAAAGGACGGACACTTTCGTCGTCTCTGCCAGACCACACATGACACCAGTACACCCTGCACTGTAGTGACGCTTTCTGCGTCTTTGCCTCTTTTTATAAAATTAGCTCCACATCCTCTTTGAATTCTCACACAGCCCCACAACTTTTGAAGCGGATATTTGATATGCATACAAAAACCAAGAAATTGAATGTTTGGAGAGTACACGCTCGTTTGAGTACTGACTTTCCAGTCTCTTCTGATGGCTTCAGAAAATACAGTTGGATTTTCGTTCCCTTCCTGATTCGAGACAAAATCTCGATTGGATATTCCGGAGAAACTATGAGAATTAAAAGGCATGGTAGAAGATGACTTGACCTAGTGCTCCACTCATCAATTCGCAATTGCATGACTGAAGGATATGTGTAGGAAATTCGCAAACACACGGGGAAGTAAACTAGGCAACTAAAGCTCTATATACATAAAAATCATCAACATCTGGAGTGGGTAACATTTAGGGCGTGACGTGTGGCAGAGGTAGGGTGATCCATTCTTAAGAGCGAGATGAATTCTTGTCAGTAATTCTTCGGTCAAAAAAAGTAGAGAAGCAGGCATTGCCCGTCTGCTTCAACGGAAAGTCATGTACACTGTCACTGTAGGTTATCCTTCTCACCTGCCCATGCAGTTATGATTCCAGTCGTTACAATGCAGGCACATAGGAGAAGACAAAGAAGAACAAAACATGAGTGATAACTCATCATCCATATTTAAAGAAAAAGGCACCCGCTAGAAAGAGCAGAACTGAAGATGGACTTTCGGACCCATAACATGGAATATTACTGCTACGAACACACACAACACAACTGAAATAAGGAACAGTGGTCTGTAGGTCCGTTTGAATTCCAGAATTAGATGCTTGCATCATCAGAAGTTCACGTAGGAAGAAGGTCATGGCACCCACGGTTTACAATTTTCAGACTATTTTCCCCTCCCCGTAACATGGATGTCTTACAGAGCTCTTAGTGTTCATTTACGCCTAGCTAAGCATGTAGTACTCCACAAATATCTGAGAATTCTGAAATATTGTTGCCGATCAGAATTTGAATAATAAGGAACTCTTTCCCACAATAGGTTTTTCGAGAAGCTGCTTGATAGTGGTCTTTCAAGTCACTTACCAGACTGAAATTTGTTGCTAAAGCAACGTACAGGTAATAAGAAGACGAAAGTGATCCATAGTGAGCAACCTGTTCCTTGTATGGGGAGAAAAGATGCCAACGAGCGCGTCCTCCCCCGTTGCATCGTGTTAATTTCGGCTATGCTCCAACACAACAGTCCACTGAGCTGAAAATCCGCATATGGACGCTATGAATTATTGAGGGTGCTGAATTGGTGTTGACACTTGTTACTTCCAACGCGGTGAGTATTCGTGGTTCGAAGATGTCTGTGGAAGAGTGCAAAAGATTTATCTAGTGCAGTGCCTTCGCTCAAGCAAGGAGAAGGAGTAAAAGAAGGAAGGAATTGATAGATCGCTGCTCAACGAAGCGTTTCTTCAGAGGAAGCAATTATATCAGAGAGGGAGGGCGAGAACTGCGGAGTGTGGAGAATGTAAAAACTGCCGGCCCCATGTGAAAAGGCGTGGAGATGGAGGCTGCCTGGTACAGAATTTGAGATGCGGCGGCCTGGAGAAGGGAAAAAATATAGACGATAGTCAGTCAGAAGTCAATGAAAAGGTGCACGACCTTCCCTCACGCCGATCCTCTCACTCAATTCGAAAACATGACAGCATGCAGGACCGATATAGTATAGAGTGTACAGTGAAGTAAGTGTGAAGATCTGAGTCTTAATAGACAGAATCTTCCGCTGAATCCTTATCCAAGCGAAGCTCAAACTTTTAGTGGTTCCGACTGATCCAAGCTCTTTCATCTCCAGAGTGTCAATTTTATACTGTGCTGTCAGCAATAAATGCAGCATAATATCTCGGAGTAATGACAAGTTTGTGTTCAAGGGATTGTGTCATGTTCCAGTCTTCAAGTGGACAACAAACAACGTTTGAAAATGGCCATGAAAAGTTCTGCGACTTGCATGGGCCCCACACACCGTCGACCCTGTGGCCATGAGCGTTTGACTCTGAGATGCAGTTGGAAGTCGGAGAAAAACGAACAGCACGCTCTGGACATTCTTAGGTGAACTGTATTATATTTCCGTCTTTTGATGTCGTGCTGAATGTGTTTTGGGCCATTGAGAGCCTCCGGAATCCCTGAATTATCTCTGAAATTTCGAATAATTAAGGGCCTTGTCACCCCCAGATCTCCTCCCAACAAGACCTGCAGACGTCATCGATAGATGCATAGTACTCCTCCGGGTGGGCCCTGCCCCTTGCTGTGTATATCTGGCCAAACATGTTCGTCTGTCCACCAATCTAGTTCTGCCATATATGTCAGGCAGTGACGTAAACGCATTTGAAACCTCGCAGTGAACCTGTGCACCGTACTGGCGCTAATAATCAATGTCTAGTGTCTTCATTCCCGACCGATAGGGTGAGTGTTTCAACTGATTTGATTCTCTACTATGCTTCTCCCTGTAGCTGCCGCTTGTACATGATCGGCTTCGAGAACCCGGAGGTAGTTAACTCCGATCGTGACGTCGCGGTGAGCAGGGCTTTGGGTGAGCAGCAAGCACGCAGGCAGGCAGGCTGCCAAGCCAGCCAGCCAGCCAAGTCCGCCTCGACCTGGAGCCCTGGACCCTGCTGGCCGAACCGCTGAGCTGAACCTTACCTCAGAAGCGGAATTGACACGAATCGCCGTGTTCGCATCGCTAGATTCTCTCGCCTCGATTCAGATTTCTCGTGTCCCAACGATGGACATCAGTCCGTGCTACTCTCCTCACAAGCAAGGGAATATTTTCGTATTTATCATCAGCAGCAGTGGCTGACCGCGACAGCAGCAGCGGCAGCTCGGTGAGTGAGTCCACTCCCTCTCCCTCTTTCTTTCTCCTTCTTTCTCTTTCTTTCTTTGTGTATCTAACCCATCAATCTGTGCTCGACCCCGACACTACCGTAGGGATCCGAGGTCCATGACGCTGGTAACGATCGGCTCAGGCTGTGTGTGGCTTTTCTAGGTCCACAAACATTAGTCAACCCTTGATCTCAGAGGTCATCGAGAAGTGCGTCCGCTAACCATAGAACATACCCGCGAACACGAACACCCCTGACAGCATGATCTACTCTCGCACTGTTGCAATTTGTCGATGTTCGCTCGTTCTACAGTGTGTGGGCTACTCCGCCCCGCCCGCCCGCTGTTAGGAGTCCTCATTCAGTACATTCACCAACATGAACGGAAATATCGCAGGATGTCTGTGCTGCAAATCCTGCCTGTTCGCCTGTGCCTTCGGCGTTAGAGAGAGAAAGAAGGGTGGGGATGATAGAGAGGGCTACCGACCTTAGACTTTTCCTGTACACTTGAGGTGTCATTGCTCCGAAAGGCCTGTGGGGAATAGTGCGAGCCCAGCTCCTTCTCTCCAATAAGTGCACTCCAACTTCGCTACGTTGGGTGATAGATCTGACACGCCACTTCTGACACTGCGAAGAACCCTGAGGTTCTCTCTTGTTCTGAACTCTGTGCGCACGAGTCCCTAAGATCGACTTCGACCTTCTGATCTTGCAGTCCAGTTCTGGAGATGTCGTCCTCCCGAAGTTTCCTGCTGTGGATATCGCCTGTTACCCTCGCATTCTGATACCAATGTTGACACCATGACATCCTTGCCCATGATCGTCCGTCATGGTGCTCGCTCGAGGATGAGGCGAAATCTCTGTGATTCCCGTGAAAAGCTGATCATCTTTGTTGTAGAAGTCATCATGAATTACTTCGGTGCTACCCTTCAGCATCATCTTATGTTCTCAGGAATCATTTCACTGTTTGCCCACTTCCATTCCGGTTGATAATTTGTAGATTCGATGTCGGGGTTTGACGAGGGCAATTCTTTTTATCTGTTACTGCATTTTCAGGTGTGTAGTCAGCGTTGGCAACCGACAATCGCATGCGCACATTCCAGCAGTTATTTAGACTTTCTGATAATAATCTCTCTCGCGGTTCAGCATCTTCCTGCCTGGGGTAGGGGCAAGGGTTCGGCAGTGTCTAGTCAGCTGTGGAACATAGCGCGGTAGATCTGTCCTGATCTTTCATCAAATTTAACCTTGCTTCTCAGCCATCGAATCTACTGAAGCCACAAATGCTGACATGACACGGCAGTTCTCTTAGTCAAAGCCTCAGCCTGGTAACCTGAAAACCCTTCTGATGGATTGTATGAACGTGCATCTGTGACAAGGGTTTCAAAGACGACATAGGACCCATGGATCGCGTGTTCTCGTTGTCGAGTTACCAACGTGCCGTCCATAGGCTTGATTTCTTGTGCAGGAAGAATTTCTGAAGTCCCCAGAATAGCTGAATTTGATGAGCATTTAGCTTCCAACCTTAGAAAGTATTTAAGCCGTCAGGACTACTGTGATGGGTGTCAGTGATCCCTGTGTTCGTGTTGAGATCTGAAACTCTTTTCGTTCATTGATGTATAGGTTTGGGTCTGGTCTTGGTCCAGCTTTCTCCTCTCACAACAGCATGTGGATTTCGCTACCATTCAAAGACGATGTAGCCTTGAGGCCTCCGTAGTCTGATTTTTTTTTAATTCCTGCGGGCGCACTGCTAGGTTCGGATATTGTTGTAGTTTTCGTGTCTAGAAAAGACCTTTTATGATAATTGTTCAGGATAACGCCGGGGGAAACAAGCGTCAGTGAACCCACCGTAGGTCTGTAAGCGAGCTAAATCTCGTGGTTTGTCTTCCGCTGGAGTTTACAGATTCCTGTGTCCTCACGGTCTTGCGTCTGTTTGGGTGTGTTGGGTTTAATCTTCGACCAACTTACTAAACCAAAATATCCTGGTGCGTTCAATGGTCGAGTAGTCATGAGCGTTACTAGTAATATTGTTATCTTTTTCATTTAGTCGTTTTGATTGGATGTCGTCAAGCCGGAACGAATTCTCTCGTGAGATCCAAACTCATATATCTCCAAGAGATCTGAGGAACTGTATCAGTTAAGTACTCGACGACTTTCATCAATCTAGTTTTTCCACAGTAGCCTGTATGAGTTCTGATCTGTTGGCAGTCAATGAGTTCATCATCACCGAGGGTTTCAAAATCCCGTCTGAACTGTTGTTCATGCTTCCGAATGTAGGGATCCCAGGTTTTGGTGCGGTAGGAGTTAGACACACATGCCAGCGGACTACACTGCGACGATATCACATTTGCATCTACTTGTTGTAGTCGACTATTCTGCTTACGTTCAAGGAAACGAAGAGTCATTTAGCGTGGTCATATACCTCCACTTATTATAAATGACTTTTCGTTTCTTTCACTGTAAGCAGATTACTCGACTGCAACTAGGATGTCATCAGAGTCTCGTTGTCTCTACCAGATTTCAGGATTGTCTCATCTGCGGTCGAAGAGAGTTATGACTTGTTTCACGGGAATGGATTTTTGAGGAGAAGCCCTTCGAACGTCTGGGTACTTCTGTTGCTTTTGTAAAGAGCGTTGATGTTACATCCGATGCAGGTTTTACTGTTATCATGGTCGCCGATGGTTACTGCCCTTAGCGACGGAGTAATCAGTGATGGGAACAGTGGTGATTCCATGAGCTGCGCATTTCCTCTTCCATAGAAGCTGTCTCTTTATCATAAGACAAACTCGAGACTCCGCCCCAAACTACCCTTGTTCCTCACATGGACACAATCGGTTTCGAGAGGCAATGAGTGTCGTAGGAAGGATAGGCCTCATCGATGAGGTGTGCTCTTATTTTTCCCTCAACTCTTACAGAAGTCCCGTAAATACCCTCAAGTTTTGCAGCTGGGATCTATCTGAGATAGCATGAAATACAGTATTCATGAAATGAAACTCTAGAACACCTAATTTGTCGTTGACTGTGGTTGTAAATTGAAAATGAGATCTGAAATCCAGAAACAACGTCTACAGTTTTTGATATCGAGACATCAGCTCGGTTCACATTCGAATGGTTTGCAGAATTTCGGCAGCGGAGGTGTGTCATCCTACTTGGTTGTGACTTTTACACTCCTGTCAAATATTGGACAGAAACGCATATTCGTAGTCTTTTTTTATCATTTTATGTGAGGAAGCCTTTCGAACATGAAGCTCGACTGCTCCCCTGAACACTGGATATCTTGAATATTGGTGTCTTCTTACACTGAACTGAGATTTGGCCTGATTGAATGTTTACGTCGCAGTCTGGATAGATGATTCCAATGTCTACTGTAGAGTCCGTCATCGGAATATGAACGGAGGAAGTAAAGATAGTGTAGTTTCCTCGTCAAAGTCTGGTGTGGCTTCGATGTTTGAGGATTAAGCCTCACAGATTTCTGAAATGTTTAGAACATACAGCGAAGTTCGCCATTGGCTAAGTGCCGACATTGTAGATAACCTCGCTCTATTTCAAGCGAAAGAGTAAATTGTATAATATCTTGATTCCCTCGCGTTGTATGCACAGGCTTTGACCATGTCCTCTATTGAGCGATATAGATATATTCTTCTTTCCACCACTATTGTGTACATGGCACACTTCCACACACCAGCTGTCAACGTCTGTGTAACCTTCGAAGTCAATCTTGTACACCCTGTTCCCGATTGGGCATTCAGAGAATGTATGCCATCCCTACACTGACACAGTGAATTGCTACTTGGTCTCGACAATCTCTCAGATTCTCCCCTTAGGTTCGAACAAAAGCAAAGGAAGGTCGTACTGTTCAACCATTATACCTGAAATATGATGTATCTTGTTTCTTACCCCACTCCTGACCCCGTAAAACTGCGGTGAAATCGAAGGCTGTGTAATCAAGGCGATTATATAATACCAGCACGAGATGGCAGTGGTGAGGATTGATCTGCGCTCTTTACCGTCTTATAGGCTCTGAGCAGTCTTCCTACACCGTCAATTGTTCACATCACTTTTGAGTAAAACATCGTCTGCTTACGTTGATTTTCTCGTAAGTAGTGTACTGTTTTACACCAGATTCCTACACTAAGCCGGAAGATAGCTCATGTGAATTGAGACCTGTGGCTCGTAAGGGGAAGGCAACGAATGATAAAAATGCGCGGTAAACTGTCTTACAAACGTAAAGAAGTAGACAAGATGTAACTCTTTCCAATGAACGTAAAAGCTTCACTGTAGTCACGAAGCTAGTGCGTGTATCATAGTCCTTTACACTTGTATATCAGACTGCAACAAGAGCATCTTGAAAAATTCTTACGTTACGCAACGGCATTGACTTCGAAGACACTTCGAACGCAGCACGACCATGAATCTCACTAATGAGCAAGTACGTTGTCGGCCAGAATCTTCTTGGAAGTACGAGGATATGAAATGACTGAACATACGGTTTCCTGCAAGTGTAAAACTTCCAAGCTTAATCTGATGATTAGATTCCGCATCCACAGGTAACAATCAGAGTTGGGAAGCCCTCCTTAGAGTATAATAAGCAGATAAAGTGAAAGTACCCCAACAAGTATTCGTAGCCTGAGTGTGGTTTCCGTGACCTGAAAGGCGGCAACTGAATCCCTCAAGCGCATTGCTTACTATGAGTTGTCTACCCGAATGTTGACTGGGTCAAGGACTGAAGCTAGACAATCTAATGCAAAAAACTATTTACAGCATTCGACACCTTCAAACGCTTATGAACATGTGTGATGACCTTAAAAGCATTTCAGAGGGAAAGCAAGAACGGCAGATAGTTTCAGTATAAAATACATTTGCAAGTTCGCAGGACGGAGAGAGCATCGGTGTCCCATGGACAGAACGATGTTTTGTGGTTGGCTTTTCCAGCTACCAAGTTCCCTGAAACGTGTGAACAGATGGTAGAAAGTAGGAATACAGAGGCATTTTCGAGCCGGCTTGATTGGTTCGAAAGAACACACGACGAAGTGCAAAACGACGAGAGTGCCTTTCAGAGTGGTGCATTTCAATAAACTACACTGGAAATGGTTTGTCGTTTGAAAGTTACTCCTTATCACAGCGTCATTTCTGACCATCCCTGCCAAGAGCAGAACGGAGAACCTTCAGAGCTGGCACCGGATGACGGACAGGTGCATTTCCGAGGAGTTAGGAGAAGCCATGTTGAAATTTGCACAATTGCTCAGTTGACCAGAGTAGTTCTTGGCGGAGACCTGGTTTGTGAAACACGAGGCGAGGTGAAATCCGAATAGAGGCGCGTGTGGAGCCTACAGAAGGCTGATCATTTAATTGTCATCCTGTAGACGATCCAGGCCTAGTTGGTAAAAAAAAAACAAAAAACAAAACCATGTTTGTCCATTCGGTAGATATTTTGATGCGTGGACCGGAAACCGATGGCGAGATGGGAGAAGAAAGTGCAGGGTTGGAACCAAGTTCGTGCACATCAATCGACTGTGTGTGATTCGATTTGCATTTGAATCAACAACAGAATGACAGAACTCAGTCCGTGCGCGTGGTATCTCCAATGGACTGCGTTCTCTTGCAAGTCGATATAAAAGGCAGATGAAGGTACAGTCCCCTTGCCGGTGTCATTAAGAAGCACTGCAAGCACTTACGTGTGAGCAGATCTGGAGTTTGTACTGTACGAGAAAGCGCTCGAGCAGGGATGTTTGGAGGAGCTTTTCAGACTCGTGAATGGAAGTAAGAAATATATGGCCCAAAGGATGGGAAGACCTCAGCAAGCCGTACCTGGATGAAACGGAAGAATTGTGATGGTAGTGTTGTCCACCGGGAAGGGAAGCAATGATGGCACCCAACAAATAATAATAAAAACATGGGAAAACATTATCAAATATTGCTAGCTGGTACCGTCCAGCCAAATCATAAAGTATGATGGGCTGTACCGAAGCCATTTGCAGAGTGAACATTCTCTAGAGAGTCGGACTTTGGCATCATACCACCGCACATGCATCCTCACACTCGAAACTCTCCGGACGCACCAACCGCCACCGTCGATGCCTGCAGGCACTTTCAGTGTGGGGAAGAGTCATCTCAGAGTAAAGATATATACCGATGTACCCAGAAGACTCCAGAGCGCAGAGACTTATTTTGGGAAACCTATAAAGCATGACTCTGTCTGTCTGGGGAAAGGAAAATGAAAAACAGGAAGACAATGATGTACAGCAGTGTACTGAGAGCACACTGTCTACAGTACAGGTCAAATCTCTTTCGAGCTAATGATGGGATGTTTGTAATTCTCATCCACTCAAAGACTCTCCCTGCCGTCCATCTGCAAGGTGTGCCGCAGATTGACGAGGTCATGCCGTCCCTGTAGGCGGTCTTTACAAAACATTCACCGGGGCCTCGTTCGAGGCTCTTGCCATTCGGGCTCCGGCCTCTTCCATTCGGAGCGCTGTTCTGCTGCATGTGCTAGATCACGACGAAAGCGCTGATGGAACAGCTCCGCCTGACGTCATGCAGATGGAACACGTTTACGTACTCCCCGAGTGCCATCCAATCGCAGCCCCTTAGCGTAACAAACAACTGTGTGGACGACAACTGCCACTGATTTTGCTTTTCGCCCCCATTTGAGGCGGACTCCTGCATGCTTCCGGAGCTGCCTCGATGCACTTGCACTTTTCACATGTGGAAAGTGCAAGAGCCTTCGCGCAGGAATTCGCCGGTGAGCAGAATTTACATGGGGCAAATACAAGAATTTCGTTACCTGTTCTGGGAAACAGCCAACTCCGCCACATCCTGCGACACAAAGATACAACGGATCCAACAAAAGGGGAGAGTACAGCGAGGAACCGGATCCATTAAAAACTGAACGAGAATTGGAGTCCCAATACTGCTAACATGCGCGTCTTTGATCCGATCACAGTTACGTGAGCAACACTTCAGATGAAGAACGGACGCTGACTCCACCCGGCTCTCCTACAAACCGCTAAAGGTGCAATTTGCCTCAAAGCAATTTCCATGTCAGATCATCACATACCAAGAGAGATGGAGAGAAAGAAATGATTTTATTACAGGCTCCAGAGATAAGTCGTTGACGAAAATCAACGAGGTATGCACATCAACGATTCAACTAGAGGAGTGCACAAGGACACTAGGAGGTGTTCCTTAGACTCGAGAGATTTTCATGGCCGCACATGTTCGGAGTCAAAATGAGTAATATAATAGTTTTGATTCGGCTCGATTACGTCTGTGTGAGAACTTGAAACAAACTATAGCAAGGTTACAGCTCTGGTTATATGTTGGATACTATTTTTGCTTTACCTTTTTTACATCACTCCATGAAAGATGATTGTACAATAGACCTCGTGGAGTTTCAACCGTAGGAATCCTTACTTGTTATGAAACGTTTTCTTTTTGCCCCAAGCTTTATGCATGGCTCCACGTATATTTTGGCAGTATAAGACTAGTTTAAATAGTATCCAATGGTAGTAGTTTACTCATATAACCAAAAAACTCAGAAATTTTTAGATATTTTTTCAATATAAATTATTCTTCAAGTATAATATATAGCAGAGAAGATCTCATCAATCTCATACATTTATTTGTTTTGAGTAGTTATGATGGCATCATTACGAATACATCGATTGTTGACGTACAATCCCAACTAACACACAAATTAATATATTCAATCTTCACAAGAATCCAATAAATAATATTCAACATCATTTGATTTTCATCCTGAATGAATTTTATTTTGAATTTAAACAGATTAGTTTTAGAAAATTCTAGGGCTGTCCGTCATTTTATATGAGCAGCTGAAAATGAACATCAGTTTCAAATGACGTTCAGACACATTATCACTCTCTTTGCTTCATAAGTCCAGAGAGAGAACTTGGTATTATCATATGTTAGATGATTTGACTTTTTGCTAGGAAAAACAAAGAAGTTGAATTAGTTAGATTTCTTATTAGAATGATGTGTTACTACAATTTATATTTATGAAGCACAAGTTCTATCTCAATAAAATAAATCTTTAAAAAAGTATGTTTATATGTGAACTATAAATACATCGGAACCAAAATATGATAAAGTAAAATCATATATATAGATAAAAATATTATTTACTATATGTGGTTTTCATACAAAACTTGCATATATATGCGTGTTCTATTAAACAAATATACTGACATATCTGAAAAGTCTTAAATAAAGAAAATGTTTATTTAAGACGTCATATTTTAGTCATGTGAAATATGGTGGTGGTGAAGCTGTATTAATGTCATTGTTTCTAGATATCATACTCGATGAGGCGAGTGAAGCAAGTATTTTTATTTTGAATATTATGCCAAGGTTTTAAATAAAAAGGATAAATAATTTTTATTTGAAGACCATCTCTAAGCATTCTATAGCACCAATGGAACGCATATAGTGGTCATAATTTGCGAGACTAAATCTTATACAACAGAATCTTAGAGATTGAGCTTTGCTATGCTTGCATTCCGCCCTATCAACCTTAAACTTGGAATCATTGAAAAGCTTGTCAAAGTGATTTGAGTGAGATCCTTTCTTGTGACCTATTGAGTCATCCATCACTCAATCACAAGAATCATCTGCCAAATGATTGAAATCACTCAAATGAGATGCAATTATAAATTTTACAGGTTTGTGCACCATTGGCATAAGATGATAAAAAAAACGGCATATATATGTATATTCAAAACTTTTTAAACATTTGAAAACGTGCAAAATTCCACAATTTGATTTCAAATACATTTATACTTGCATGATAATATAGTGTTTGTTTAATTTTTCAAAGTTTTAGCATCAAAATAGTTCAGTTAGATTGAAACTATTTCATCTTTCAATTCATTTTTCATAAACTAATATCTGATTTTTTTATCATCTGAGCAATATATTTATTCAATCAATTAGTTTTTTTCTGTCTTTGTTGTTATTACATATTAAATTATTGAGCGATGCAGTTTTGCAAGATAGATTTTTTACTAATGATTTCATTAATTTAAGAACAAGATAACCAAATCCTAAAAATTTTTAATTGTGAACACACGTCTAGTTATTGTAATCATCTTCAGTGAATAAAAATTAAAGAAGATATTATTCAAGAAGTAGATATAATTACATCATCATGGACTATTTATAATTCTTACGTCGGCAATCTTCGAGCTTAGTAGATAAAGTGTAAGTGTATTAGTTGATAGTAACAAAGCAACAATACATGTACTTGTTAGATAAGGATTTAATTTATTAATTAGTGTATTCGTTGAGATCTACACGTTGGTAATGTGTATATTTGTTAAAGTTACTCATCATGTCATCAATTTACTAGGAGTAAAATGAATGATAGAGCTGAAATCATATATCCTTGTACTTGTTAATAAGATATATATTTGGAAATATATAAACATTCTAGGTAGTATAAACAACTCTAATCTTCATAGTTGTGTTTCATGTTCAAGTGAATTATATTCTTGAATCTTGATGTTACACTTTGACATATTTTTTTGTGCATATTTAGTATATAGTAAACATCAATGTATGCTAAAGAAACTTTTTAATTTTTGAATAAACTATTAAATTATGAATCATAATTTTTAGTATTCTTGGAGTATTTTTTAGAATCCATATCATGACTTCCTAATGCACCTTTGTCAAATTTGACAATTACTAGAACACTCATATTTAAAACAACAACAGTTTTGATGCACGTCATCAAATACATGAAGCAATCTAATTCCTTGTCAAAGTAGATTGACAACATAGTAAATTTTTTTTCAATAACTTGAATTGAATATTGACCTATGTAAAGTTTGATATAAGATAACTAAAATATTCAAACTACTCAAACATTTATTTATCAAACTTGAAAACCATATATAAACTTCTTTTGTCTTGATTTTATCATAGTATTTTTTTCTTTAAATTAAAATAATTTACATAGTCATATGAAATTTTCTTTTAGTTTTATTTGAATTCAATATCTTGGATAAAAATCTTGATTCATTTTTGCATCTTTTCATGTAAGATATTTTTTTATTAATAGATTATTCATGTATAAAATTGAATAAATAAAAACAACTTTCTTTTATTTTTCATTATATTTTTTGATTCATATTTACATATGAATAAAAAAATGTATGGAAAATTTTATTCTTTTATTAATTCATTAATTTTAATAACCATTGAATATGAACGTTCTTCAATCCATATAAAAATTCATCGCTTTAAAAAATTAACTTTGTTTACTTCTTTTATAAATTCAATTAAGGTATTTTATGTAAATTTTTTGTTATAAAAATCTATGGAAGAACATTGTGAAACATAACTAACTCATAGATTATAATCAAACTGAATATTTGATGACTTGCACATACTAATCAAATCAAAGCATATGTTGCTTAAGGTGAGAACTTTTATTGTGATCCATATATTTTTTGTGTAAAGACCAGAGCCAACAACTTGGATTTGAAAATGATTTATTCAATACCTAATGGATTATATTTTGACTTGTATATCTATTTTCTATTATAAAAAGTTTATGTGTTGGAATTTCCGTTAGTTTTTAAGTTGTGTGATCAATTAACTATTACAACTGACACATTTTAGCATTTTTTCATTTGAGCTAATTGAAAAAGATTGAAGCTTCTCCCTAATAAGAGGTCTTTTCTTTTTCTACAATTAATGCTTTCACATTTTTTTTCTCAATTTTAATATCAGCATATTCAAGAATGGATGAATTAGTGCATATCTTTCACATTGTGGTACTCTAACAGTCCAATTTGATGATCTCGAACATTTGATGGAGAATTGTGAGATTCATCGACAAATCCTTGCCGGTGAAAAATCTTTTCAATCCGTACCAATGTAATCCTTGTGTCATATCATATCCGTTATAATTTAGTATCCATAACATTTGATCTTGCATCTCGTTTTGAAGAATCAAAGAATGTATTTAACAAATCGTTTCTATAACATCTTCACTTTTTTCGATAGAATTATCAACTAGGTCGCATCTAGCTTGATCATGTGTGATTGGAAGTGCTCTTTAGATGCAACATGTGCACATTTGACTTGTAGTATTTTTGAACATATATATAATAGACTTTTGGATAATGGACACTTGGTACGGAGAGAGGTAAGATATGCCGTAACAATTACGTGTGACACATGTGTTCATCACATTTCCGATATAAATGACATTCACCGAAGATGCCATATTTTAGTAGATATTTGGCATAACCGAATACTGTAGGGAAGAAGATTCTATGATAATATGTAGCGTAGACCCCAACTTACGACTAGATTCTATGATCTACATGAATTAGATATTTGGGAAATAGTGATCTACCGGAGGAAGGTATAATATCCTCTCCTTAAACTTTTGCTCGGTGGCTTGGCGTCCATAGTCACTTCTGCTCCGGATTCTTTGTACGGCTTTTTGTTGTCCTTATGTTCTCTGCGTGGCCTTTTTACAGTAGGAGGACATGAGATGTTATTAGATGTGCAAGGAGTGCATGCATAGCTGAAGTGTACTTGGGCTGCCATCGCTTTGCAGGTACGGTTGAGAGCTCACTCCGAAGAGAAACCACTGACAGAGGCAAAAACATTGTTACAGCAAAGTCAGGACCTCTTGAGGAGGTCAGATGTCACATGCTGAGGTTCATCGTATTTGACTTGAACAACATGAAGCTCATTCGGCCATACCTCGAGCAAAAATAACCTTAATTACTTGGATTCAACAGCGTGAAAACTCAGGTGGAAGATTGTCGTTGAACCTCAGAATGAACTTGTCGTGGTATGTATAGCCTCGTTTTCATTTCCTCGAAGATCCACGTCAGAATATTTACTTTTATCTTGGCAGACACGCTGTGACGTTTTCTTGTGAAGCTTTGCGGATCAACTTGTGAGTTGATCAAGCCGGATGACGTCGTACCATAGAAAATAATCCATATTGATTGCTTCGTCCACTAACTTTGTGGCCTTGTAGATATCTGGGCCAACGATATCTTTGGTAAGTTCGACTCCTCTATCCCAAGGGCAAAGTTCGCATTGTGAAGAAAGTAATACAGGTGCTCAAGCATGGATGGGAGACTGGCAGTTTCAAGGGTGAGCTTGGCTGATTACCATGTTTGGATTAGCTTTTCCTTGGAAAAAAATTGCTTGGTTACAGTAGCAAACCGTGGATGGTTCTCAGTGTAACCCACTCAGGAATATCTTCGTCACAAAAATACCGTATGACAAACCAACACATCTGAACTAAGGCGGTTGAAAGAACCGTGTCGCAGTCACTTGGCAAATTGACCTCCTCACCCTCCCTCGAAGAGCATTTATCCAAATCGTATTCCTGCTTTTGACCCGGTGCATTGAATGCAAGTTTTTAGGTACTTTATAATTTGTGTTTTCCATAACTGGATCAGTGAGAATTATTTTGTCTTTTGATAATAGATCTTTAATGTTCTTCCCATGTTTTTTTATGTCATCGATTCTTCTATTCTCTTCTCGTGGCTAAGTCCTTGGACAACAACAACACATCATTTTATTAATTTCATTCCTAGGTCTTTTTTTCCATCGCCAGTCGGTGTGTGCCGATTATGTTGCTAAAGTCCTTTCGGTTTCTCATCTTTGAATTGAGAGATCAAGAGATAAAGCAAAATGGATGTGAATCAAGTTGTTATTTCAAAACCTATACTTTCTAAAGCTAAACCCCTTGTTCATGAGGGATAGAGCAAGTGTGTTCTATAGGATAGGGAAGTAGTATAACTATCGTTCAACTATCAGGTAAGAAGTATCATTGTTGTTAGATTCTCTTTATTATTTTATGGAGTGCCAGCTAGTGTTAAACTAAAAGCAACTATGTATGCATGTGATATTTGTTTAGATCTGGAAAATTGAATTAAATTAGGTACTATAAGACATATTTTTCAACCTCGCTAGTCTTGAAACCTAGCCCCTACTGAATATTCTAGTTTCATCCTTGTCCATTTTGAGTATAATCCCATAGTTTTTGCATTTTACCTATAAATAAACTATAAAGCTTCAAAGATAACGTTACAAAGTTGGCTATTGATCGATCGGCATGCAAGAATGTTTTGTAATGAATGTAAATGTATTGTTATGAAAGAGAGAGGAATAAACTAGTAGATGTAACGCTTCGTGTAAGGGAAACCCCGCCGTTATAGGATTTTCTCATTGTGTTTTCTCGGCCGCATATTTGCTGGACATACAATGGACATGGACAATGACTTGAAATTCAGAGATTCCCTTGGTTGAAAGATAAAGAAAAGATAGATGAGGCTTGGATTGTGGGGATAAACATCACACTGTTCGCACATCCTCCTTGTCTTATCTTTGCTGTTTTCGTGTGTCTGAGAGCAGAGCATCATATCTCAGTTTATCGTCTTTTAACACTTGTCTTTGTCCTATCTTCCACATTGCGTGTCCAGGTTCCGATACCACCACATCATCATTCTCCATGTCGTGCAGAATGTACTAATCAATGAGAGTGCACTCCCATTGATTAGCTGGTGTTCTCTCTTTCTATCACTACAAGATTTTGATAAACTCAATGCAGTTGTTGTAGTTGTTACGAGAGGACTCCAGCTGGGAATCAACTGCAAACACTAGATCCATATGTTTCCATCTTGTTCGAATCACAGAATCATAATCAAGCCGCCGGTGTCAACGATAGTAAGGGAAGAATATGAATGCAAGAAAGCCTGTGTGAGAGAGAGTGAGAATTCCCTCAATATATTCCTCTACATATTGGAATTGACTGAGCGAACACGAGTAACTTCACAATAGATGCATAAACTCATGGCGCACAGCTGCTGGGACTGTAGATGAAAATATCACCAATGTATCCGATCCTAACGAACAAGAATTTGTACCGGTTAAGAGACTAACCGCCGCTCTCGAAAAGAAAAAGTCCGTAAACCCAGAACGGGAAAACCAAGACAGATCACTAGAGGCTTGGCTGACTGTAATGAGAGGATATGCATTGGAAAGAAAACATATAGAAATATATTCGGAAGGAGTGAGGGGGAGTTATGGGAGATGTACCAAACATGTTTCGATCCATGTGCATTATGTAGGAATCTTCCCTTCATGCCTTCGACTCTAGAGTGTAGCCCTACCTTGAACAAAACAACAACCTCTCGTGCGGTGAAAGAACCTTCTTATTCCCGGAATTTTAAACACTATTTCGCTTCTTTCCACCATACTCACTTTGCCTCTTTCAAGGCAACGAAACTCCCAGTCCAAGTACTCGTACCATCTCTCTAACCCGCTGTACCTTTCATCTGTCTAAGGTACCGTGGTGGGCTGTCATGATCGCCCACTGTTGTCGTACTCTCGTGATTGTGACATGCAAGCGGGTAGATTAGATCCAATATTATAAGCTAATAATGCTCGTCCTCAATGCGTGTCCATACATTATATATCTTCCGAACCTGACTGACTCTTCGTTGTTGTTGTATTGCTAGGAGACATTCGTCCCTGTCGAACGCTATCAGACGGCATCTTGGCAACGACGGTATTCTGCAGTGGTGATTCTGATCAGGCGATTGTAATCAAGGGAACTGCTATCCACAGTAGATTCCTCAACAGGTAACGAAGATATGTCATCCATGCACTGATAGTAGGTGGAGTGAGCCACGACCCTCGACCCCAGAAAGAGCGATCAACCCTGTGCTGCTCCCATGCTTCACTAGATTTTCCAGCTACTGTCACTATCTGTCCATCGAGCTAGCGCAAAAGACTGAGATTATACACCTGCCCACGCCTCATCTGCCGACAATCTAACAAATTGCAGATACCTGAAATTGCTGATCTCACCTTCGGGTAATTCGAAAGTTCACCGTCCCATGTACTGAGTGACTCACTGGCTCTCTGAAAGCCCTCTGCTGGCAATCGTTGTAGCATTGAGAGGACTGGTTTCGATATGCGGAATGGTTCATATAAGAACCGATCGGTGATTGAACCTAGGTAACTGACATCACAATCCAATACAACGTGTAAGGTAGTAAATATCTGCATTTGCAAAGACAGAAGATAGGCCATGGAGATGTTGTCTTGTTAACTCTCCACTCACTTCAGCATTCACGAAAATTAACTTTTTTGATACAGACAGCATCGCGATCCTCGATCAATATCGGGCTCCTCGATCCTGACTTGTATATTATCCAATTTTTTCATATCAATGTTTGAGACAGGATAGACTCTGCAGACCGGAACTCGAAGATGCTACAGACATTCCGTGACAACGGATAGATATTTGCAAGCTTTCGTGACTTGTTCCTCGTGCATTTGGACCTTTTGGGCCATTCTCAAAGGTGGAGGATATGTGTGCTAACATGTCAAGAAGACACATAGAAGACTATTACCGACAGGGGAGAGCTTGAAAGTAGGTAACCGAGACCAAGTGGATATTTGACCAATATAAGATAACATTGGGAATGTGTTCATTACTTCCAATTACTTTAACCATGGTTAAGTGAATGAGTTAATATCCCCATTTATAAAAAAAGTGCCTTATTTCTCAATAACATAATGTAAGGTTTTGTTAAAAGATAAAATTAGTTCATGGAACTAATTAGTTTATCAAAACCAAGCGTTTATTGACTTTGATAAATTGACAGCTTGACTTTAATAAACTAATTATTTCACGTGTAGAATCTTTGAAATACATGTTTGTGGTGTTTAGTTTTTTTTATTTTTGCATAAAGAACAAAAATTTAAACTTATTCGTGGTAGAACTTATACATACAAGTACTTAGTCATAGGAGTTAGAAGATTTCATGGAAATTAATTAGTTAGTAGAATAAAGATGGAATCCGCCTTTGGCCAAAGATCTCAGGATCTTCATACCATCGGCGTAGACATTTTTGACGATGCAATAGCCAAGCCTTCGGCGAAGACTATTGGTCACAATTTGAATTCGCCAAGGGCCGGTCAAGAACCGCACGCGTTGGGAGTGCCAATTCGCGCTCGTGTGGGAACCCTTAGGGCTTCGAGGGTAATGGCACGAAGCGGGCACATTTGCGCCGACATTGCGAGAGAGAGAATTGCAATCGATCGGCTTTGGCAGCAGCGAAAACGCGACTGGAGACATGACGCAACCCGCGAAAGCTGCTGTGCTGAAATTGGTCCCGCTCAAGGTGCCCTATGCAAAATTAAGTACGTATCGACGAGAGCTTGTCGCGCTGCACCTGGAATTTCTACCATGGGACTGGAATTGCGTGTCGGCGACCATATGCAAGGAGATAATGGATAACAATCGGCATGAGGATGACAATCTCCGCGGAAACGCGATGCTATGGACGCTTGAGCACCGTACAAGGATCTTGGAACCATGCGTAGGGAAGTATGGAAACTTTATGTTCGAGAAGAAGAGTGTAAAGGTCACGCGCGCCGAAGAGTTCACATTCGTGCCACTCTTCAAGACCGCATGATTGAGCACAAATGGATGGCGTACAATGGAATACAAGGACCCAAAGAGGCGTGCGGTTGCGCTAGGGATGATGCACATTCTGCGACCGCAACGCACGACCTACATCACAGCATGGCAAGTCGGATTCTCCGAACGCGCATTTAGAGAGGATGCGATCTATTGGACGAAGATCTTCCATGATTTAATTTGGACCAATGTCAGCATCAGATGGAAGGGAGGTCTGATTAATCACATAACGCCCTAATTGATAAACTTGAATCGAGGGATGAGGTTACTAATGAAGAATGAGGAGAAGCATTTTTCTAAGGAGTGGGAGGTGTTAACAATCGAGTCGGGAGAAGATACGGAGGAGGAAGACAATGTCCAAGCCGAAGAGCCTCCCCGAAGGACAATACAAGGGCCAGATCAGGTGGACGTCGTCATGACCAGGGATCAATCAGATAGGAGACCGACGAAGAGACGGAAGGTAGTTGAGAATAGTGGTGCAGGCAGAAGACCAGAGTCGCGAATGGTCGATGCACAGGTAACGCATCTCAGGATGCCAAAGCGACGGGCTAGACCAAAGAAGAAAGCGAATCTGTGGTACCACACTTTTGGTATTTTTGAGGAGATTAAAACATTTTTGGAAAATTGTACCGCGGCAGCAGTGTAAATAGCCTTCGGTGCATCAAAACACAGTGAATTCGGAAGATCGCAGAGATTCTCGAGGGAACTCGTAGAATCCAGGATTGGGGTGCGACGTCGGGGATGGACACCACCCTCCATGCGGACTCTTAAGGTACAACCCCTTCGGCGCAAGGCGCAAAATCCGCCTTCGGCGCTAGAGGAATCCTTCAGAAACTTGGTCAATTCCCAAACACCTCAACTTGGTTAGGATCTTGTTGGAAAGAGCTTGATGCGCTGATTCTAACGAGCCCAAGAACGCCACAAACGGATGAGGACTCCGGGAGTTATGAAGGTCGCAAGATACTCAGCTTTCCGCCTACGAGTAGGCGAGGGAAGTTTTGTCCTATGCGCGGACGAAGGCAGTTCGCCTACGCGTAGGCGAAATAGGGTTTGACGTAGGCGCGATGTCCGCCGCGAATGTCGCCTACGCGTAGGCGAGGAAACCTCTGCCCAGGCGGACGAGTGAAGTCCGCCTACGCACAGGCGCTTCGGCGTCGGCGGGAAATCCGCCTTCGGCCCTAGAAATGCGCCTTCGGGGTTAGAACTTGTACGGCGCCTTCCGCGCCAGCGCAGCAGCGCGGACGGGCGAAGAACCACCGGAGTAGTAAAATCCGTACGGACTGTACGGACGGAACGGATGGATGCGCCTTCGGTCGGACGGAGTTACGGCGGCGAGAGCGCCAACAGAGAGGCAAGAAATGGACAGACCGGACGGAGCCTGTTGACCGCGGTCAACGCCTTCAGCGCCAGCGCAGCTGCGCGGACGGGCGAAGAACCACCGGAGTAGTAAAATCCGTACGGACCGTACGGACTGTACGGACGGAACGGATGGATGCGCCTTCGGTCGGACGGAGTTACGGCGGCGAGAGAGCCGACGGAGAGGCAAGAAATGGACAGACTGGACGGAGCCTGTTGACCGTGGTCAACGCCTTCGGCGCCAGCGCAGCAGCGCGGACGGAATTCGCCTACGCGTAGGCGAGCGCCTACGCACAGGCGGATGAAGTTCCGCGCCGGCGGAGATTCCGCCGGGGATTCCGCCTACGCCGAAGGGAGTTCAACTTTTGTCCGATGCGCGGACGATCGCCTTCGAAGGAGGGGGATTGGCCGAGGAGCGATACGAACGAGTGTAGCGCGCAAGGCGAGAAATCCGCCTTCGGCGCCGCTCACCCATGTCCGCGGCGTAGTACGCTAGCGGAGTTCAAATTTGCCAATTCGAGCGTGTGAGTTAAATCGGCGTCGGCGGAGCATGAAGCCGCGCGTGAGAGTGGAGACCGTTTTAGCGTAGAGCCGGCGCGGCCATCAAGTGATTCGACCCTCACGACCGAGAGCCGACCATGACCTTCGACCAGGAGACGGAGGGCGCCCCATTCTTGAATTCGCGATTTCATTTTCTAGTGCGAGGTGCGCGCGTCCACATGCTAGCTGCTAAACATTCCAGACATCGCCGCGCGGAGGATTACTTGTTGATTGAGAGAGAATTGAGTGCGCGCGATTTGGAATTGAGTGAGATTAGAGTTTGCAGAGGGAGCAAGGAGCTCGAGCGGAGCAGAGAGAGAGCTAGCGAGCAAGCTAATTTCAAGAATGCAATGTCAAAGCTGAACAGATTACGGATGCTGCCGCTCCGGCTTCCACAGAACGGGTTGGGTGCCTACGAAGAACGGCTGATTGCAAGAAAGCTCGATTTCTTGCTGTGGGGATGGAATTACATTTGTGTGGACATGGTGCGCGAATGGCTGGAACCACAACGACCACCTACGCGCGGATTGCGTCCGCATGTCGATCGGTGGACCGTCCAAGATTGGGCGCAGGCATTGGGGAGGTGTGCCGGCATCGACGGGTACCTTCTCTTTGATAGCGAGAGCGTCAAGGTGTCGAAGCAAGACGAGGGGCAATTTGTGGAATTGTTCAAGCGGAAGAGGTCTACCAAGAATGGGTACAAGACCCGAGACTACAAAGATCGCTTCCGCCGAATTTTAGCGGCGGCGCTGCTGCAATTGCTGCAGCCACACCGCACCTCCTACATCACCCCGTGGCAGGTTTCTTTTGTGGAGCTCATCTTGGAGGGAGCTCCAGTTCACTGGGCGAGCATCCTGCACAGAGTGATGCGACATCACGCATTCGAGGAGAAGGGGGGAACTCTCAATCACCTCTCCCCTTTCTTGATCAATTTCTATCGGCAGAGGAATTGTTTGACTGCGGCGGAGCTCGCTCGCTTTCCGCCATTGTCCGTCGACCATCCCGGGAAGTATGTGCGGGATAACGAGGTCGACACCGATGCAGAGGATTCACCAGCTTCTACTCCGCCGACACGAAGAGACGAGGGAAGAAGCACACCCGCAGCAAGAGTGCCGCGGAAGCGTCGATGGAGAGAGGAGTCCGAGGAGGAGCAGCATCGAGAACCCACTGCTCCCATACGACAGCGGCCACTGCACGAAGTGTGCAGCCGGCCGAAGCAGAAGGCGCGCATGCTTGTGTTACCAGCCAGCAGCGCGGACACGGCGACGATCGCCACGGAGAAAGGAAGCGCGTCGCCGGAGAGGATCGAGAGAGCGCGGACGTCCGCAGGAGCGGCGGACCACGCTACACCTCCAACGGACGAGAGGCAGCCTTCGGGCCAAGGGCCTCCGGAGTTACCACGTGCGATGCGGACGAGTGTTCCGCCTACGCACAGGCGAGTTTCAGCGGAAAGGCGACCTCAAGCGAACGTGGACCTCCGCCTACGCGTAGGCAGAGAAAGTTCGCCTACGCACAGGCAGGATTCACCCCCGATACAACGTAGGAAGGGGAAGGAGCCGGCGGAAGATCCGCCTTTGGGTCAAGGGCCTTCGGGACCAGACCCTCCGGCGTACAACGCGCCGCGATTTGCGCCTTCGGCGCCAGGGCCTTCGGGTCAACGAGTTTTGGGCAGGGAGCGTGCGGAGACCGCACCTTCGGCGGGTAATCCGCCGGCAGATGCGCCTTCGGCGGTAGGGCCTTCGGGGCCAGGTACATCGGGTGAGCGGCCTTCGGCTCTGTCGCCTTCGGCGCTGCGCCTGCGGCGGACAAGGCGCCGGTATTTGCGCCTACGCACAGGCCAGACGCAGTCCTCGCGCAGGACCGATCGAGGAAGCAGGACCTAACGGAGGAGCGGATTGTGTGTCCGCAGGACGAAATTCGGGTGCGCGATGCGCAATTACACCCCGCGC